CGAAAGACATTAGATTAAAGGGAGGTGGAAAGCAGTAATTTGTGTGCAGTAAAGCCTCCACACCCACAATATCAGAGTTGCTCATCTCAGTAGCCCCAAGCTACTTGTAAAAGTCCTCTCAGTTAAAAAAAAACACGTCAGCAACGTGTTTACCTCCCGGGACGAACGATTATTGCTGCAATAATTAACACTTCTGAAGCTATTTCGGTAATTGTGTTTTAAGCTATTGAAGTATTTTAGAACTAACTGGCTGACAACAACATGTAAGCTTTTGATGAGCGGTTAAAACTACAAAATGAACACGTGAAAGCTGCAAGGTCGGGGATTCTAAGGATGGCAGAAATTACCTTGACTGTTCCATCTACAGACTCGTAGATCAGCAGGAAACCAGAGATAATGGATCTTGGGGGTCTCCACGTGACCAGAGCTGAGTCAGCCTGGATTTCACTCGCCGTCAGGTCTCTAGGGCCATCCAATGCTGTGTGAATCAGAAAGGAAAGATTAAAGTTGCTTATCTGTCATGTTACATTTACTGTGTCTAAAGATGATCCATATAAAAGGTTATGAAGGTATTTGATTTTGTATAAAAAAACAGCATAAAGGAATATTATTCTATATTATAATATTTTATACAAGACAAAAGTTGATGAAGCCATATACAGGACTTGTGACTTGGCCACAGGAGCAAATCAGGAAATAAAGCCATTCATTGAGTGTCCAATGTTTCGGTTGGGCACGGCCCACCTTCATCTCATTTGGCCTCATGCACATGGCGCTAGGGGCTGTGGCTGAGGACTCCTTTGCCAAAAACCTGAGGATTACTGCAGCAAGAACCTGAGGATTCCTATGGCAAGAACCTGGGGATTCCTATGGCAAGAACCTGCAGACTTCTGTGGCAAGAACCTGAGGATACATGTGACAAGAACCTGAGTATTCCTGTGGCTAGAACCTGCAGATTCCTATGGCAAGAACCTGGGGATTCCTATGGCAAGAACCTGAGGATTCCTATGGCAAGAACCTGGGGATTCCTATGGCAAGAACCTGGGGATTCCTGCAGCAAGAACCTGCAGACTTCTGTGGCAAGAACCTGAGGATTCCTATGGCAAGAACCTGAGGATTCCTGCGGCAAGAACCTGAGGATACATGTGACAAGAACCTGAGGATTCCTGTGACAAGAACCTGCAGTCTTCTGCGCAGGAACCCAAGGATTCATGTGGCAAGAACCTGAGTATTCCTGTGGCTAGAACCTGAGTATTCCTGTGGCTAGAACCTGAGGATTCATGTGACAAGAACCTGCAGTCTTCTGCGCAAGAACCCAAGGATTCATGTGGCAAGAACCTGCAGACTTCTGGGGCAAGAACCTGAGGATTCCTGTGAAAAGAAGCGGAGGATTCCTGCAGCAGGCATCTTAGATGAGTCCATACAGATATGTCCATCCTTGGCTGTCCACATGTAGTCATTCATGGAACCTGTGGCTTGGGATGGATGATTGCCCCTGGATGTAGACAGATCTTCCCCTTCTTTTCATTTTTTTGTTGGTTAGAACCTGTTGGGTT